GGTGAAAGCTCGCTGGTTCGATTCCCAGTCAGGGCACATGCCTGGGTCTTGGGCCAGGTCCCCAGAGGGGGACGTGTGAGAAGCAACCGATCGATGTATCTCTCACACATCAATGTTTCTCTCCCTCCCTTTCTCTATCCCTTCTCCTCTCCCCGAAAATAAATAATTTTTTTTAAAAAGAAATATTTCCGTTCACCTTTCCTACAGGGTCCTAAATACAGACCCATGGGTCTCCCTAGCTCCACCAGCAGAAATGCTGGGTTTCTTCAGCTCAGGGCTTTTCAGAGTTAGGCCCATCTTGGCCACGCACCAGGAAATAAATCCACGGAGCTTTATAAAGACAATTTTGATTTACAGTATATCATCTCCCTCCCACTTCCCAAAGCTTTGCACACACCGTGGACATACTTACCCCCGAAGAGTCTGTCAGCAGTTAAAATAAACTCGGGGCTGTGGGCCCCAAGACAAACACACGCACAAAACAAAACCCGCCGGGAAGTGGGGCAGCAGGAGACCAACACATGAGAGGCATCCCCGTGCCACCTTAACTCCTGCAAAAGAACAAGGGCTTTTCGAGGAATTCAGGTGGAAAAGGGGGGTGTGAAGGGTATTGGTTATAAACAGATTCTGTGTTCCTTATTCCTTCAGGGCCAGTCCATCAGAAAACAAGCGCTACTTGATGGAAACTCTGTGGCCAAACGTTGCTATAGATGACGGGTTGAGAGTTGTAGCAGGGCCCTGGCGGTCACGGCTGTGATTGACAAGACTCCTAAGTGCCACACACCAACCTGCACTCCCCAGCACACAGGCGTGGCAAACAGACTCGATCCCAGCTGGCCACCAGGGCTGCTGTGTGATACCCAGTAGTCCCCCAAATGGGTCGCAGATCAGTCCTTCTTTCTACCTGCAGAAAGATGCCCCAGAGATGGTGGCACTGGTTACCTGTGGCGCAGGCTGCCCTGGAGGGAGACTTCCCAATAGCCTGTGGGACCTGTTACATTTTGTTTCAGGTGACTATATTCTTTCTTCAACAAATAAAGAGTTTTAGCCCTGGCCAGTGTGGCTCAGTTGGTCGGCGGGTGATCCTGAGCACCAGAAGGTTTGGGGTTTGTTTCCCGGTCAGGGCACGGACTTAGGTTGGAGGTTCGGTCCCTCACTGGGGCGCATAGGAGAGGCAACTCTTTGATGTTTCTCTTTCTCTTCAGGTGAGGATCAAAAGCAATTTCTTAAAGTGATTCTGCTTTATTTGCTTGATGAAAGCAACTATGGTTCAAAAGCTCTATTGTTTCAGAAGGAACAATGAAGGCAAACTAGGAAAAAAATCTAGGTAACTAAAACTCGGACACCTCGACTCACTCACCAAGGCCTTCCATTGCGGCACACGGGGCGAGGAGAAGGGAATGGAGGCAGCTGACAAAATCACCCCATTTAACAGAAAACCCGCAGACTGAGGCTAGATTGCCCGTTCCCCAGAGCACCCTTCCATACCGCTTAAGCAGGAGCACGCTTTCTGTCAGATCACGGCCTTACCAGGATGGCTACCAGTAGCAAGAACCACCACCTTGCAACTACTGGGAGCTTGATCTTGGAGGCTGGAGCCAGGGAAGGCCCAGAGGACCGGGAGGGGTTGGGGCAGCCTTGGACTCTCCCCAGCTGCCAGTGACATTGTAGACATTGAACTAGAACTCCTTAGGGAAAACAAGAGGCCAGACTGGGAGAGGCTGAAGGCCGTTCTTCATTCGCCCAAGAAAATGCCTTGCAGAGGATACACGTGGCGAGCCAGCCGGGGAGACTGGCACAGACGAGATCTAGCACAAGCTGCCTCGAAACCGAGCCCGAGCGGGTGTGTCCCTGGGACTCGGAATCTGGGAGTCAGGCAGCAGGGCCCGTCCAGGCTGTAGCATCAAGGGACAAGTCCCCAGGGGGGTCAGCAAAAGCCAGACAGGCCAGGAAGTCCGATCTGGATTTCCAAACACAAGGACCGGCGTGTAGATGGCAGAGCGGGAGGGCTGTTTCTTTCTGGGGGTGGGTGCGGGATCAGGGTGGGAGCAGGGGCCTGGGGAGCTGCGTGGTCCTCTAACAGCTGCTTCCTCCTCCAGCCGGGCTCTGCACTCACAGGGAGAGAAAGTGGGGAGCGGACAGCCAGGACCGGGGACGGGAGAGGACAACAAAGGCCCATTCCCCTGAATTCCAGCCTCTCTTCATTGACCCCAAAACCATACTTCCTTCAATGTAGCTCTGCATGCACGTTGCCTTTCAAGCTGTGTACTTACTGCTGTTTTTCAAGGTCGAAGGTGGACTGCAAAGGATAAATGGCAACCAGAGAACAAAGTCGGGTTCTGTGTAAGCTGCACTTGAACTTAGATGAATGCCGCAAAACTGCTGCTGCTCTTTAAGAGCCCTGTAGTCCTGTGGGTCTGTTAGGTACACGGGCCAGGTTGGGGGTTTTGAGAATGCTCTGGAATTAGGTAGCCGTGGTCTTTGCCCAACGACCACTGAACATATTTAAAATAAAACGACACCGAGTTGTGCCCCGTTAAAGAGTGCATTTTATGCCACGTGCATTGTATCTCAAATGAACAAAAAGAAGACACGTCCAGCTGTGAAGCCACAGTGCGCGTAGGAGACAGAAATGCGTTCTAAGAATAACCTGTGAAAATCTGGTTTGGAGCTAGGACCGCTGGTCACTGTGGCATCGGCGACTTCCCCATTTTCCCCAGGAGGTGGCGAGTGGGTTGAGTGAATCACAGCCGCACTCCCGGGCGTGAGAGTGCACTGTCCACACGCTGAACAGCTACCGCGATCTGGAGCCCGGGGGCCGGCCACGAGCACCTCACGGGGCTCCTAAGCAGCTGCCTCGGGGGGAGCCCTGTGCCAAATTCCCCTAAAAAGAACCTTCCCGTGTACGTAACACACAGCATGCACTTATCTCACAGAGATGGTTGCAGCTCTCTGATGGGTCAGACGCCATTGATAACCTTTCTCCTCTGAAATGCGCCTGACCGCACGGTTATCTGCCTTAACTCTGCCATCAGCACGGCCGCAGCGTTCGCAGCTCGTTCGGCTCCGATGAATCCCATTCGACAAAAGTGCACTGACCTCATTCGGCGTTACCGCGGTGCCTCTGCTCCTCTGCCTTCCACAGGCACACGAGGCTGTGCTAGACACAGAGGCGGCGGGTGCAGCCGCCTGCAGAGGAAGGATTCCTAGGAGAGCAAAGAGAGAGGGAGAGAGGCCAGAGAGGAGCCGTGGGGCGCTTTGCATTGCGTCATTCTTCCCAGGTCCCACCGGGCGCACGGTGCTCCCCTGGAGCCGCTGTCAGGCGGTGACTGGGTGGGGAGCGTCGAATTCACGTTATCCCTCTGACGTTATCTGGTGCCCAGGGGCGTGCTAGCTGGGTGGAACAAGCAAGTCCGGGTACGACGTTCCTGGCACACCTGCCTCCAGGAACACGTTGGACTTCCTCACGGACTGACCTCAAAGTAACCACCCTGGACCCCCTCCCTCCTGTGAGCCCTTGGCCTGGGCAGGGTGAGGTCAGAGAGGTCCTCGTGGGCTGCCTCCCACCCCACCCCCTGCCCTCGCCCACTCAGCCAGCCTAGGGCTTCCTGGGCGCGGGCTCTCTCTACGAAACTCCCTTCCACCTCCGAGGTGTATTCTGAGGGTGCACGGCTGTGTTATTTCTGCACCTTCCATCCTCGTGCAGAGGGAGCCCCCTGTGTCACTGCACTCATTGCCCGCCCCCCCCCCCCCCGCCGTGCTCACGGTCTCTGTCACTACCTGCCCCCCCCCACCTGTCTTCTTTACCTCTGTCCCTACTGCCACCTACCAGTTAGTTCCCTTTTCCTCATCTGGCCAGTTCCTGTTTACCCTGCAAGGTGGAGCTCACACGTCTCCTCCCCCAGGGAAGCAGCCCCCCCCTTCTCCAGTGAGGCGGGGCCCCTCGGCCTCCCCCAGAGCCCCCTCTCCCCGGGGGCGTGTAAGCTCCCAGAGGGCTGGGCCTGTAACTTCGGTCCGGGGATGCTGCGGGAACTTGACCCCTGTCTGTGCAGCCGAACCTGGCTCTCCAGGTGCGTGACTGCCTGTCCCCAAGAGCTGGTTTTTCTTACACTAAGAAGGCTGTGAGGAAAAGAGCTTTTCCGCAGCACACCGATAAGCATCTCTAAGTGAATGTTAAGAAGCTTGGTTTTTTGTTTTGTTTCCCTCAGATGGGCAGATGCGGAAATCCACGTTTATGTTAGAATCATGCAGCAAGGAAACAGTGACTCAAAACGCTCAAGCAGCTTGTCCCGGGTTCCTGGGCCGGCAGGCGGTCGGGACTCCGGGGTCCCAGCCCCAGCACACACTTCCTTTCGCAGCTTGCTGTCCCACTTGTAAGGTTCTCTGCATGTTTAACATTTTAAAAAGTAAGCAGCGTTAAACATCTTTTAGAAATCAGATATAGCTTGGAAGACCAAGTTCCACATCCCCTGGTATAATGTACAGCGGCGAGCAAAAGTGCATGTACACTTGTGAGCACAGGACACAGAGTTTGTTCTTGTATTATTATGATTGCGTCATTTTCCACACGAACTCTTGCCCACCTGTGCATGGGAAGGGCCTCCTTGCATTCTCCTGCAGTTTGCAACCAAAGGTGACAGCATGGTGACCCGCAGAAGTGGGGCCAGTTTTGTGTGTTGCTTGTGCAACACGGTTTTCAAACTTCCGCACCCCATTTGTGAACTTTCCTTGAGTTCACCATATCGTCGTGAGCATAACCAAAACATGCGTGAATGGCGACGCGACTTCTCCTGCAGGATTGGTGGGGTGCACACATTCTCGGGGGGGAGATGGGCTAGAATGGGGAAGTGACATTTTGGGGAAGGAGAATACTACACAGGAGAGTTTCGGGACTGTTGGTGGTGTTCTGCTTTGCCAAAATGTAATCTGATGGTCCATGCTTTTTGTCTGGTTCAGGAAGAACTTGTGCATAATCTCTGCCTGTGTCAACTTTCTTCCAGGTGACGTTTCAGGTCGCCCCTCCGTGCGCCAGCGAGAGGCATTACGAGCACGCGGGACGGTGCTGCCGCAAGTGTGAGCCAGGTGTGTACGGACGGGCCGCCCGGCACCGTGCACCCAGAGGGGGTGGGACTTCGGTTCTGCATTTCTTTAATCTGAGGAACGATTTCTGTCTGCCAGATGAAAACCGAAATTGGATGGGTTTTTTATGGTAGTGGCAGGTGGTAATGTCTGTCACGCTGAGGACAAAATCCTTTCTCTGGGGAGATAAAATCCCTTAAACCTCAAAACCCACTTCAGAAACCGGTGCTGACTGTGTGCCGGAATATCGTTTCCCAAAACGCTGTTTCCAGATAGGAAATTCAGCTCTTACTGAGAAGCATTACGACAGAAGAACTGGTGGGGAGGACAACCTCACCGGAACTCTGCTGCTGAAAGTGCCTAAACGCTGTCGCTACAGCTTCTCCCCACGCCCTCGCCTGCTGCGGGGCAGGAGGTGGGCTGGGGACCACGTCCCCACCACCGTTCTGCGGGAACGTGGCCTCATTGCTACAGGGACCAGGGAACTCCCTAGTCCACAGGGTCCCCATTCACTCATTGCCCGGGGGAGTGGGGCATTTCTCTAAGGAAAAGGTGGCCACCTTAGAACAAGACCCTTGAGATATTTCCGCTACCAATATTTCTTGACTGTGCCGAACCACAATCCACGGTGTGTGTGCGTGTGATCAGACTAAGTGAACCATGAGCTCACAGTGCGTGCAAGGCAGAAGGAGGGACTCGTCCAGATTGGCCGTAGGGGAATTTTGAAGCTGGGGCGGGAGGGGTGAAATGAAGTCCCTCTAGCGTAACCCCCAGGGGGCCCCTCACATCCTACAGGCACTGGTCCGGACACCACTGTTCTTCCCCTCAGTCAGGGGGGTCAGGTGGGCAGAGCCTTTTTCACGTGGAAGGGCTGGGGGGCCGCCGGGACACAGGGCAGCGGGCGAGGAGAGGCCGTCTTAGCGGCTGGGGTCCTGCGGGTCTCTGTGTCTTTGGGGACTTCCTGGGATCGTGGTCACGTTCCGGGAGATCGGTGCTGTCCCGTTGCTTTGGTGTTCGGGTGTTTCTGATCAGGGCACCTGTCCCCTCCTCGTTGAAGGAACGTACATGTCTTCCAAGTGCACTGCCACCTCCGACAGTGTGTGTCTGCCCTGCGGCCGGGACGAGTACCTGGACACCTGGAACGAGGAAGACAAGTGCTTGCTGCACAAAGTGTGCGACACAGGTGAGCCGCCCGCGGCGGTGCAAGGTGTGGATAAGTGGTCTTTTCAGATACGGCGGTGCCGATCCTCCTGGGGGGGGGCGGGGCAGAGGGGGGCGTTTGGACCACCGATCACGCACAGCGGCGCTTTGGACCCCAGAAGCACCATGTGTCACAATCCTTCTGGCGAACTTGTTGGTCTGGAACGCTCGTGTTGCAGCTTAGTTGGGGGACACACCTTAGAGCCGACTAAATACTCACGCAGTGCTCCCCTGCGTGCTGTTATTTAATCCTCGGGAAAACCCTGTGAGGTAGCCGTGATGATCCCATTTTAGAGATGAGGAAAACTGAGGCTGAGAGGGGCTGAATGACTTCCTCAGAGTTAATCAGTGAGGACCAGGGCTCAAGGTCAGATCTTCTGACTCTCAGGTCTTTTCCCTGAAGGAAAATGTTTTATTAACTCTTCAGTTAATAAAACTGTTGTATTATTTGTTTCAAATTTTTTCTTCTTAAAAAAAATTTTTTTTAAGCCCTGGCTGGTGTAGCTCAGTGGATTGAGTGCAGGCTGTGAACCAAAGCATCGCAGGTTCGATTCCCAGTCAGGGCACATGCCTGGGTTGTGGGCCAGGTCTTCAGTGGGAGCCACATGAGAGGCAACCACACCTTGATGTTTCTCTCTCTCTTTCTTCCTCCCTTCCCAACTCTAAAAAGAAATAAATAAAATACTTAAAAAATTTTTTGTCCTTATCTGAGAACACTTTCCCATTGCCTTGAAAGAGAGAGGAAGGGGAGAGGGAGAAAGGGAAATGTCGATGCAAGAGAGAAGCATCGACTGGTTGCCTTCCATATGTGCCCGGACTGGGGATCGAACCCACAACCTAGGTATGTGCCCTGACTGGAAATCATAGCTATAGCCTTCTGGTTATGGGACAGCACTCCAACCAACTGAGCCACGCTGGCCAGGGCATCACATTTTTTAAAATTGTAGTTTATTTGCAGGAATCAGGATCAAAATAACATCTGTTGTCTCCACTTAGAGGTTCCTTTCCTTTTTTTTTTTCTTTTCCTTTTTCCATTCAGTTTATCTGTGGGAGAACCCTTGCTGTTACTCCTGTGGAGTTTCTGCAGCCTGATTTTTGTTGGTTGCATTCCCTGGTTGTCATTTAACGTATTCTTTCATCTCCTACCTTTCTTTTTCTCTTTTCATCTCCTACATTCCTTGTAAAGTCGTTGTTAGATCCAGAAGGCTGCTCAGATTCTGGTTTGTTTTTTTGTTTTGTTTTTGGCAAAACTCCCTGGTAGTTGTTACAATGTAGTTACGCCGGGAACCATATCATAGTTGCGTTTTTCTCGTCCTGTGTTGTTAGCAGCTGTTGACAATCAAAGCCTAGATCCATTCCCATCAGGTGGTGTTCCAATGCTGTCATTCCTTCTTCATTTCTTGGCGGGAATGCCTTATAAAGGGAAACTCCCCCCACCAACTCCCCGTTACCCTGAAGTACACCACACACAGGAGAGGCAGAGTGAATGCTCGTAACTTTGTTACCACTTTTCAAAATAATGACTCAATCTCCAAGCTTGCTCCAAAGGATTCCTATGAATATTACAGACTCCTGCATGTAGACATATGTGGGGGTTTGCAACCTATTTCAGGGACTCGTTTCACTGGCGCTCAGATGCTCCCACCTCCTCCAGGCGGCCCCCATCCCACACAGCCCCTGGGGTCTCTAAGAGTTCCCTGGCTTCCCGGCTCCTCCTGGACACACCTACCCTGCGCCCGGAACCAGCCATTTCTTCAGGGATTCCTGACCACTTTCGGCAAAACATCCTATTTATCGACCTCCATCTGAATGCCAGGGAGGCGCATTGCTTCTGGGTTGATTTTTACCTATAGGTCCCTTCCCCGCCACCCCCGCGTGGGGAGAACTAGGAAATAAGTATTTTTTAAAAAACCATAATTTTTCTAGCATGTTAGAGACAGCTGGCAGGTTTTGGTTGGAGAAGATAACGTGGAAACTCCACCAGCAGAGGCATCTGATCAAGTCTTCTTTCCCACTGCTTAGTAATGACCTTGACTCATTGCTGTCTCTCGGAAATAGAGAATCACTGTGTCTGCTGCCACTACCACAGCTGATGGGAGCGCCAGGCCTGGCTCCCTCAGGCACTGAAGGACATGTCAGGTTCCATTCACTGGCATTTATTTATGTGGGATGCTGGGGTCAGACTCTTCCGAGGGAGCGACAGTGTCCTGGGGCGTCCGGGCATCGTGCGCATGTTCCTACACACTGGCCTTGGGGCCGCCCGGCTGACCTGGGCCTCGGAGGGTGGGCACAGAAGGGGACGGAGATTTCTCCAGGTTCGCCATGCTTGGGCCTCAAAGAACCGAGGACAAGAAATGCCGAAACTTGGGCTGAGGCCTGACACAGGGAAGGAGGGAGCAGGTTTCCAGTTTGTTTGTTTGTTTCCCCCTGGAACTGCGTTCCAGTCGGTTCAGGTTGCTGTAGCAGAAACCCGCAGACTGAGGGGCTTCAGCAACAGGAATGCACACCTCACAGGTCTGGAGGCTGGACGTCTGGGGTCAGGGGCCAGCACCGCCTGGTTCGCGGTGAGGGTCCTCTCCCAGGCTTCCTGACAGACGCTTCCTCGGTGCGTCCTCACACGGCGGGGAGCGGAGAGAGGACGCAAGCTTTCTCTTGTTTTTCTCCATATGCTTTTATTCTTTAATTTAATTAATTTTTTATAGAGAGGGAAAGGCGGGGAGAAAGAGAGGGAAACATTGATTGATTCCCTCTTGCGCATGCCCTGACCCAGGCAGGTGCCCTGCCCTGCCTCCTTTTGCTTCACAGGGGAATGCCCAACCCACTGAGCCACACCGGTCCGAGGTCTCGGATGTCTTTCTCATAAGGACACTCACTAGGGCTGCACCCTTGTGACCCAATCAGCGCCCACAGGCCCCACCTCCTAACACCACCACATTCAGGGCCAGGAGCTCAACGTAGAATTTTGAGGGACGCCACCGTCAGCCCATAACGAACTCCGCTGTGTGTTCAGGAACGTACAGTACAGGGCCGTTCAGACAGCCCAGGTGAGGCGGGTCTCGCAGGGGTGGAAGGTCTGTGTAAACAACGTCACTGTGCTGCACCGTGCGTGTGCAGTTGACGCTCACTGTCCCGCGTGGCGACGTACAGTCGCCGCCAACACTGAACGAGCAAACACGGAGCCTCTGGACCGCTCCTCCCGGGGGAGATAAGGTCCCTGCGCGCCTCTGGTCCCAGTCTTGTTGTCAGCCTGTCTGCCCATAACCCTCTGTCGTGCGTGTTTCCACTTAAGGACACCTTATATTTTTTTAAAGATTTTTAAAAGATTTTATTTTTCTAGTTTTAGAGAGGGAATGGAGGGAGATAGAGAGAGAGAAACATCAATGTGCGGTTGCTGGGGGCCATGGCCTGCAACCCAGGCATGTGCCCTGACTGGGAATCGAACCTGCGACACTTTGGTTCACAGCCCGCGCTCAATCCACTGAGCTTCGCCAGCCAGGGCTAAGGACGCCTTATTTAATAAATGCTTTTTATTCGTTAATATGTGATTCATGCACAACCAACAGCGCTGTGACTCACGACCAAACCAAGTCTATCTAGCACACACGTTCTCTCCCTGAGACGCATCGCAGCCGCCTGGGGCCCAGGGAGCGAAGGGCAGCGCCTCGGCATGGCGCATGGAGGCCGTTTTTAACAGGGACGTCGCCGACCAAAGACAAAAATGCCAAAAACAGGGCTCTAGAAAAACAGACCACAGGAAAGACGCTTGTTTCCAGCGTGAGAGCCGCAGCAATCCGGCAGAACGTGTCAGCCCGTTCCCCTCACCCGGGAACACGCACGTCCGTGGAGCGGCTGAGCGTTTTCCTAATTCCGCCACAGGGCCAGCCGTGCTGATTTCGGGGCGACGAGGACATTTCTGTGGGCAGGTGAAACTGCAAGCACGAATTAGTGGAGAACAGCAAAAACCCTGTGGAGCACTCGCCTCTCCTCCCCAAGACCTGGGCAGGGCCAGGGTAGCAACAGATCCCTTGCTTTGCGCTGTGAGGAAAGACAGACTTGTTATCCTGCACAGGGAGAGACGAATTTCCAAGCATGCCTCCAGGCCCAGCCTCGGACTGGGCCGCTTCCCAGTTACACAGGGACCCTGGTCTTCTGACCCTGAACACTGGTGGCTCTGCAGGATCTCTGGAGGAATCCCCAACCTCTGGAAACTCCATTCTCTTAGGCCCTGTCTAGCTTTCGTGTTAAGACTGTTTATCGCTTTTGAATTTACTAGAAATCAGGAAACTGTGAAGTCTATTTTGCATTAGCTGAAGTAATCAGTACTCATCAACACCCCAGTCCTTAATCTCCCTGCTAACACGAAAACTGACTTTTTAAAAAGCCACATGCCTCTTAATTATTGCGAGAGAAAACCCCCACTGGGATGATTTAGAGCCAGCACAGGAAGCCGACAGGGGACTCGGTGTCCTGAATGAGTCAGTGTCCGGGAGGCGGCGGGGCGCTGCGTCGGGGTGGGTGGGGGGCGGGGAGTTGGCCTGGGGAGCTGCGTGAGGTGGACTGCGTGCGCCCCGCGGTGCGAGCGTCCTTGCGCTGCCTCTCCGCCCTGTCTCTGTCGCCCGCAGGCAAGGCCCTGGTGGCGGTGGTGCCCGGCAACCGGACGGCCCCGCGGCGCTGCGCCTGCACGGCCGGCTACCACTGGAGCGAGGACTGCGACTGCTGCCGCCGCAACGCCGAGTGCGCGCCCGGCTTCGGCGCCCGGCACCCGGGTACGGGGTTGCTTCCTGCGCTGTCTGCTCTCTCCGAGGCCGGCAGCCGATCACACCGAGGCCAAAGCCGGCTCCGAGAGCCTTCCCTGCCTCGTGCACGCTCTGCGGGCCAGGTGGCGCTGGAGGAGCTTGAGGGCCCCCTGGGAACGGAGCCCAGGTTCGGTTCCAACGGGGCATGTGAGAGCTTGGTCCACGTGTTGTCTCCAGGCTCCTCTGTCTGTGAAGACTTAGGCTCCCCCTTTAGGAGGGAACCCGACAATGCAGGGTTATCCAACTTACACAAACAAACAAACAAACAAACAAACAAACTTGTGCAGCCCTTAGCAGAATTCTGAAAAATATCATGCACCCCCCCAGCATATTTTTAAGCTGACAGCTTAAATTTTTTATTACGTGTTTAAAGAACTGCTGAGGACTTCATTTCCAAGAAAGAGCAATAGTAACACTTTCTAAAGTATTCAATGGATGTCACTTCACCGCGGTTGGATGCCTACCACCGTCTACTTTAAAAGGCACTCCTCGCGGGGATGGTGGGACATGTCTCATAGTCCTTTTCCCTCCTTTGGTCTGTACTCATTTCTCCTTCCCCACAGAACTTTATCCGAACGTACTTTTGTGCTTGGAGGGTTTTTACTAATGACCTGTCATGCTCTTTCATATTTAAAAATAGGTACCTATTTGAAATCTTACTTTTAAAAAAATTTCCTGTGACTCAAGGTTCTAAGGGTTAAAAACACTCCTGGGCTAGGTTGTTACTACAGTTATTACACAATAGGTCAAAAATGAATCTATTTTGCTTTATTATCATTCAAAAAGTAAAGGCTTTATGAGCTTCATAATGAATGAAGGGTGTTTTTTTTTTTTTTCAATTAGCTCGTGTCATCATGGTTAAGTACAACTTACTGCAAAAACGCAACAGAATTCCACATTAGTTCTATTGCCACCAAGTGCTAAGAAACTTGTTCACATCAGTAACTAAATAGCTAAGGAAGGAATTCTGCGACTGGAGTGGCACTCAATCCTGGGTTCTCGTCCAGGGTCACACCGTGGTGATGTGACATCAAAGTGGTGTTTAGTGACTGCTCACCTAAGAGCTGTGTCCTTCGACTCTCTTGAAAGTGAAGAAAAAGAAATCTCTTTGACTCGGAAAAGTGTTCGCTTACTTCCTGACTTCTAGGAAGTAGACCAAAGCAGTGTCTTCGAGACTTGACACATTAGTTGCAACTGCGAGTCCTTCCCTTGGAGGCTCGTTGTTTTAACCCAGAACACTGGGACAAGGGTTAGCAGAATTAAAGTATTATTGCTTTCAGTTCATACAGAGGAAAATGTCCATCACAGAATCTAACTTGGACCATTGGTCTTGGTTATCAAATGTTTCAACTAAACCAGACAAGCTTTCTCTAAGAAAAAGCCTGACTTGACTTTTTAAAAATAATTTTTTTTTAATCTTTCAACTACGGTTGACATACAGTATTCCAGTCATTTCAGGCATACCACTGATTCAACATTTATGAAACTTATAAAGTGATCGTCCAGATATTGACTTGATTTTTCACTTTTAAAATAAATCTCCCTGTGACAGCCAGTTCCCTTCTGAAATCTGATTCTCAGACAAGGCCCAGAACCTTTCCGCAAGTTTGTCGCCTGCATGGAAAAAGGTGCTGTCACCTTTTCTGCATTTTTCCTGATCGATGTTCTCTCTGCTTTGCTCCTTTGGGGACGGTTTGTTCTTGGGCAACAGGTGGAGGACAGAGGGGGTGACACGGAGGGTGTGTGTGAAAATTTCACTCCTGCCCTACCTTGCACTACACCGTTGGCCTGTTGACCTTGACCAACGTGTGTTGAACTGTGAGGGTCCCCTTACATGCAGATTTTTAAAAACTTGCTGTATGGATGAATAGCGTGCGGTATTTTCTCTTATTATTTTCTTCAGAACACTTTATTTTCCCTAGCTGGCTTTATTGTAAGAATGCAGTGTATAACCCACAAAAGAAATGTGTTCATTGTTTGTTATTGGTAAGGCTTCCGGTCCACAGGAGGCTATTGGTAGTTAAGTTTTTGGTGAGCCGAAAGTTATATGCGGGTATTGGACCGCAGGCAGCAGGGGGCAGTCAAAGCCCCTAAACTCCATATTGTTCAGGCGTCGACTGTGTTTGAACTCAGAACCACGTAGCCTGGTCCCAGTTCCCTTGCTTCTGTTGTCGCGCTTCTGCTCCGGAGGGACAGACGCTGTACCCAGGTGCTCTGAACGCAGGCGCTTGGCCGAGTGCTTCAGTGCTTCGACTTGTTGCTTCGTTTGGCGTCTCAGAGGTCTGGCACCGTAGCCAGGTTTGCAGTGGGTAGGAAGCGTGCCTTCTTCTGTAAAGTGGGAGCAGTGTGGCTACGAAAGGGAACAGGGTCACCTGCAGCGGGGCACGCCCAGGAAGTCCATTACAGAGAGCAGCCACGGCAGCCCAGTGTCGGGAGAGCAATGCGCTTCAAGCTCCGCTGCCTTGCGACCCTGTAAGAAGTCTCTTTGTCTTTAAGGGTTACTCTTCTTGAGTGCGTTGATCTTTTTAAAAGCTGTCTGAATTTATGTGAGTGACTAGATGTTTACTGGGCTTTTGTTCGTATCCTTTTTAAGGCTAATCCGATAGATGAAAGGGGCAGGCACCCTACCTGCCCCTTTGAGGCCATTGCAGAAATCAAGAATAGACGTGCTTTGACTCTGGACAAAGAACATGCAATTCCTTATTTTAGTGTCTTATTCACGTCAATCAATCAAAGGAGTGCTACTCATTTCAAGAGTAATTTGTGGTTTGGGTGTCAGTAGCAGTAAAGGAAAGAGACACAGAAAATCTGAGACATTTCCTACTTCAATAACACGGTTTACGAGGAATGCGCGCGAGTCGAAGAATGCTTACTAGGCAGGATCAATTCCTGCTTTCAGGGTTGTGGCTCCCGGCCGGGTCCAGAAGCTCTCCCGACACTCGTGTTTGTGTCAATAGTTTTAGTGGAACACGGCCACATCCGTTTTGTTTTTGTTTTTGTTTTTGACATATTCTCTACGGCTGCTTTCATGCTACAAGTGTCCGTGGCAGAGGCCAGAAGATCTACAAAGGATCCTTACTGTATGGTCCTTTATAGAAGAAGTTTGCTCCCAACCCTTGGTTAAAGAGCAAGAAAGAGACCTGTAGGAGTTTGTTTGTTTGTTTGTTTGTTTAGAAAGCTGTGGCCATTCCCATACTTGGACTGGAGAGATTAAGCTGGTCAGCAGAGGGCAGGGCAAGAAGTTGTCTTTCCAAGCAATAAAGGAAATAAAGGACTGTCACTGTCTGGAGACCGAGGCTGATATAAGCCCCAAAGCCCGAGAGGGGAGATCCGACAGGTGTTCGGTTAGAGCAAGGCGGACAGCGGGGTCCTGGCCAGGGGACTGTCCTGGTGGCCAGGACAGTGCCTCTGAACAGCAGAGGGTCGGGACCTCACTCGGACATGGCACTAGTGTGACAGACAGTCAGGGAGGGGGAGTTCATACGGAGGCACTTTTACTAGACCTGACACTGAGCCAGCCAGCTACCCACCAGAGCTTAATAACTCTGCCCCTTCCGCTGGGGCTGCCGGCCTGGGAAGCTGTGGGGGTGGAAGCAATGGGGGGCGTTGGGTGGCGAGGGCAGGGACGGTCGGGGAGGCAGAGGGGCAAGCTGCCGAGAGCTGTCCTCTGGACCCCCGTCCTGGCTGATCTCTAAGTGTCCTTGTTTGGTTTTTCTTTGTTTCGTTTGTTTGTGTGTGTGTGTGTTTGTTTTTGACAGTGCAGCTCAACAGAGACACGGTGTGCGAGCCCTGCCTGGCGGGCTATTTCTCCGACACCCTTTCTTCCGCAGAGAGATGCAAACCCTGGACCAAGTAAGTGACGGCCAAGGGGCCCGGAGAGTTTGTTGATGTCGAAACACTCAACCCGCGTGGGCTCCTGTGTGAGAAAACAGACTCATTGGGCCTGACGAGGCTTCCTCTCAATTCTGTCTTCAAAACGGAAAAAGCCCGTCAACTCAGTGTGGGCAAAATAACACCCGTCCAGCCGCTCCCCAGCCTGCCGCGACGGGCCCCGTGTGTCACTCTTTAAAGTCACCTTCGTTCAGTCTCTGGCCTCGAGTTGCAGCTTCTTTTTTTCTCGTTTCTAACCTTGTTTAGTTGAAAATGATCGATGATGTTTAGCATTTACTCATCCTCCCCACTTCTCCCAGAGATTTGTGTGTGTGCCTAAAGAAGCCTCATGTTTACATAAGTGGGGTTTTTTTTTATGTTTTTTTTTCTTTTACCCTCACCTGAGGACATTGTTTTGTCGCTTTTAGAGAGGGAGGAAGGGAGAGAGAGAAACATTCATGCAAGAGAGAAGCATGAATGGTTTGCATCTCATGTGCATTCAGACCTACAGCTGTACCCACAGCCTAGGCATGTGCCCTGACCGGGAATCCAGCCCGCACCCTTTTGGTTATGGGATGATGCTCCAACCAACCGAGTCGCACCGGCTACGCAAATATTTGCATACACTGAACACTGTGGGGTTTTTTGTCACATGATGTGTCTTGAAGGAAGCTCATTCCATATTAGTTCATTAGATCTTCATGGCATTTTATAGGTGCACAATATTTCATTGTAGAGATGTGCCGTACTTGTGTCAACAAGTTTCCTATTGAGAGTCATTTAGGTTGTTCCCAGTCTTGTGCAACAAATAATCGTTTTGAATGAATCATCTCATGGATACCATTTCCCATTTATGTTAGTGCATCAGCAGTGGGACCCAGACCCTTTCCGTGTGTGCTTGTTAAAGATTAATGATCAATATAATGATTCCTTCAGTTCCCAATATATTAACTCCCATTAAGTACTTATTTTCTGATCCACTTATTCAAGTTTTACGTCGAAAAGCTTTTCTGCACTTTCAGCTTCAAAAGAGCGCTCACCAAAAGTGTATCGCTTAGCAGCTGAAGCATTTGGAGTCTTCTTTGCTGAAGGCGCCCACCTGCTATGGTCTCGGAGGAGCTCTGGGAAACCAGGGGCAGCGCTCACTGCTGCTCACTCGTTTATCCTGTGCGACGCGTGGGTAACCGCTGGGAACCCGAACGTCCAGGAAGACCTGGGCTCCTCTCCTGAAGGAGCGAGCAGTCTAGTGGAGAAGTGCCTTTTTCTAGCTTTTCTTAAAAAGTGAGAACATAAAACTGAAGCACGTAACTAATTCCCTTCCCCCGCACAGCTGTACCAGTCTCGGAGCGACAGAGGCACGTCCTGGAACCAATAAGTCAGATGTGGTTTGTAGTTCTTCTCTGCAGTCTCCAAAACGTTCAGACGGTATGTCTCCAGAGAGCGGACTGGCTGGTTGGTGATGTGCCCAGACTCGTCAGCCCCTCCAAGTCCCCCCACTAAATTACACGCCCTGGCTGGAGGGTCACCTCTCCCTTTGCATCTCATCCCATCCGTGGTCCTTTTAGTGGTTCACTTCCGTCAGTATTTTAATACCAGATATGGTGTCTACTTGACTATTTCCTACTCTGGAATGGATAACTAACAGTGTGTGTGTGTGTGTGTGTGTGTGGATGGACAAGCAGCATGTCGCTTTTAAGCGTAGAGAATAAAACAAAATCACCTTTAATACCATTTTCTCACCTGCCTCTGCCACAGAGCCCCAGGTGTACCTGCCCAGTTTGGTCATCCTGCTTCTCTTCATATCCGTGGCGCTGGTCGCTGCTGTCATCTCTGGCGTTTACTACAGGAAAAAAGGGAAAGCACTAACAGGTATCGTGGTTTTGGAAAATGAATCTTTAAAAAAAAAATAGATACCTTTCTGGGTCTATGCTTCGGAAGATGCGTGTGGCACCCACTGACCGCCTGCGGCGACCTGCTTAGAATAAGTGCTTTGAGGTGGCTGTGCTTAAACTAAGGTGACACACCCTTTATTCCTAATTCGTCATTCTCTGGCAGGACAAACAAAGTCCAATGTGCCTATTTTCGGATAAGCAAACAAAAAAGATCTGCAGGGTCAGGACGCCAATGTCTCCTAGACCAGTTGTTTTGTTGTACAGGTGACAGTGTGTCAGGTAGATGGGGGTTGTTGCCTTTATCCTAAAATGCAACATTTTCAGTGCACCCAGTTAAAACAGAGACAAAATGTTCAGGTCAATGGTGGAGGAAAAGTTTTGGTTGGGTTGTTACCTGGAAATACGAGTCTAAAATTATGAAAACAAGTTCTCTTGTGTTCAGTAAAATTTAGGTGCTCATTTTGGGAATGAATAACCAAGTGTTATCTTGTTTATTGCGAATAACTTTTATACCAAAGAATTATTTGATAGTGTCTTTTTGTATCACACCATGTTTGACTGTTATACTCTAAAGCTAAAAAGTGTAATTTTTAAAAAAAGATTTTATTTATATACTTTTTTAGAGAGGGAGAGGGAGAAAGAGAAGGAGAGAAACTTCAATGTGTGGTTGCCTCTTGTGCGCCCCCTACTGGGGACCTGGTCCTCAACCCAGGGATGTGCCCTGACTGGGAATTGAACTGGGGACCCTTTGGTTTGCAGGCCGACACTGAATCCATTGAGCCACACCAGCCATGGCAAAAAAAGTGTAATTTTTCAGAAAGGCTTCAATAAGTCTCCTGAAGCTATTTCTCAGTGCTTTGATAGTCACTTCATTCTCCGTTGAGGCTCTGCTGTCTCCCCATCCTTGTCCATTGTCAGTTGCTCACTCGTTCGCCTTGCCCACCCCTGCTTTGCCGTGATTTGCTCAGTTCTCTCACATTACATCCGAGGGCCGCATGAAACCCTGCTCATCATGCCGTTTCCATTAACATTACCACGACCTACCGGCACACTAGGGCAATCCAAAGATTCATTAAAGGGGGAAGATGATGACTGGAGATACCAGAGTTAAGCAGAAAGCAATGTTAATCCAATTTTTAAAAGTCTGTTTATTATTGAGATTTTGTTTTTAGATTTTATTTATTTATTTAATTTAGAGAGGGAAGGGAGGGGAAAAGAGAGAGAGAGAAAAACAGCAATGTGTGGTTGCTGGGGGCCGTGACCCACAACCCAGGCATGTGCCCTGAGTGGGAATCGAACCTGCGATGCTTTGGTTCGCAGCCCCGTGCTCAATCCACTGAGCTACGTCAGCCAGGGCTGAGATCTTTTTTATTGATTGATTTGAGAGGGAGACAGGAAGGGGACAAGGGAGGAGAGAGACAGACAGACAGACGTTGATTTGTTGTTCCACTTCTTTATGCCTTCACTGGTTGATTCTTCTAAGTGTCCTGACCGGGCTCTAACCCGCAGAGCTACCTGGCCAGGGCCTTGCATATTTGTTACTTAATGCAGCTTCACTTCCCTCACGACCTTGACTTCCTAACGAGGCATTTGAGTAATACGCTGTTGTCGGGTGCTGCGGACCACTCGTATTGTCGCGTTTATGTGAGACAGACAGACTTCTGCTGCTTGTTCTTTCGTTTCTGCCTCTGTGATAAGTCTCTCCCCGCCGACTCATCAGCGTGGAGGAAAGCAGGCCCAGTGGTCAGTGCGTCGGGATTTACCAGTGTTGGCTTTCTCTTCATCCCTTCATGCAGCACATGCTTGCTGGCTCCCGGGGGTGGGCCTGGCCCTGGGGTCTCAGTACTGGGCAACACACAGGCAGCGAGTGCCTTCCTGGAGGAGGCGCCCTGGTGGGCAGGGCAGGCGCGGGCCCACACAAGGAGGCTGAGTATAGACGGGGCAGTGATGAGAGAGCTCCAAGTGGCCAGGTAACACCGGAGAGTACCCAGTCTTGGGCTCAGCCAGCGCCTCCCGGAGGAAGAGACAGGGCAGCCGAGATCTGTGACACACTGCACTTCGCTAGCCCGAGGGGGTCGGGCCAGATGCAGAGCCTTCCATGCAGAGAGAATCCCAGGCTTCGGGGGGCGGTGAGCCAGGGGACCGGAAGGCTGGCACAGTGGGAGCAGAAGGTGTGAGCATGCAAGATGGCACCGGAGCGGGAGGCTGGGCCAGAGGGAACAGCCCTGCAGACCTCGCCGGCGATGTCGCTCTTGTCTGTAGTGAAGGGAAGCAAAGACAACCCTCTGGTTTAGTGTGGAAACCAAATGTGGGGATGCAGCAGGAGTGGATGCAAGCACGCCAATTAGGAGGTCTTTGGCAATCATCTAGGACAGAGATTACCGTAGTGATTATTTATGAGCATCACCTCTGTGTACAAATATTATTTTTTAGCGCCATCTGTAATTGTCCAGGCTGATCCCTACCAGGACAGAGCTGCAGTGTTCCTTACATTTGGAGTATCTCAATTTGTATGTAATTTTTAAATTGTAGGAGCAAGAATAATAATGATGAGGGTAGCAATAGTTAACATGTATTGAATATTTATTCAGTAAATGCATGCACCGCTGTGTGCATTTTAATGTACTAACTGAATCTCCACAACAGCACTAGGAGGTAGGCACTGTTATTTGCCTCGTTTTCTGATGGGGAAACTGAGGCTCAGAGAAGTTAAATAAACTGGACCAGGTCACATTATAGGTATCATCAGCTATTATGATGTGGCTATCTTCCCACAGAAAATTGACAACCATGAATCCAACAGTAAAATTCACTGGCGGTGGGATAAAATTTTATTTTTGTGTGATATAATTTTACATATTTTTTAAAAAAATGGATTTGACTTTTTAAGTTTTATCGCTTTTATTTTAAAAAGATATAATATGTATATGCCACAGGACAGTCTTCTTTTTTTTTGAGAATGACAGGGTCTAGCTGAAAAGGATTTGGGGCCCATTGGAACTCTGTGATGCCTGCTGCAGCCTTCTGTCATGGCCTTGACCTCTCTTGTACATGTGTTTGAGCTAGTTCACTGGAGAGCCAGTTTCCATTCCCCTATGATGCCCAGTCTAGTCCCTTGTAGTCAAGTGTGGGGGGGGGGCTCCGCTCTCAGGCCCCCCCCGCCCCAGCTCCCACGGATGAGAATAAGTCTACCAAGACATGATCTAGTTGGGGAGGAAAGGTCCGATCTCTCGAAGGAGAAGGACCAAGAGCCTTTTCCTCAATGGCTTTTATTGGGTTCGTTTGCATAAGAATTCAGGTAAAGCTCATTACTCATTTCCAGGAAGTAAGGATCAAACAATAGATAACAAGGAAGTCTGAGGGCCTGTTTTTAGTCAGGGTCAAAGAGCTCTAAAACTCTGAGGAACAAACTTACTTCTTCCTTGGACCCTTATTTAATTGAGAGCATTCTAAACAAAGCAGGTTTCACAGGATTTTACATATTCTTTCTTAGGCCTGATTGCCCAGGGAACCCACCCTTTCCAGCACAGGGCTGCACCACCCTCTGTCATTGTTTCAGGCTTAGGTGGAGCAAGGGAAGTAAGGCAGCCAGGAGATTAGGAGATTTTCTCGCAGACAGTGAGGACTCAGGCTATGTCAAAGCTGAGGGGCAAGGGTCCATCACCCCCTTTTGCTGTAGCCCCCAAAGTCCTTCCTTGGGGGCCTCCCATGTGATCGTGCCTGTCTTAGGTCATTCCCCCCTTGGGGAATCTTACCCGTCATTGGCTAACCAGCCAAGCACTGGGGCCAGGCAGGGTGAAGTAAAAGGAGAAGTGGTGCTCCTGCCAGGGAGATAAGCTTTTGTCTCCTTGCTGGCTTACGGTCCAAGGTCATTCCTTCAGCCTTAGCCTTGGCGGGGGTTACAGCTTCTGATACCAGGCAGGGCGGTTCCCAACAGTCAAGGAAAAATTGCTAAGGAACTGGGATTGTCTGTTGCCCCAACTGCAGCTGTGACACCCTCAGATGTGCCTGTATTCAGTGGGACATATTTGGTATCACACGGGTCAGAAAGTTCTGTTTTTGCTGGGAGGAGGAGGAGGAAGATGTCTTTATAGTCTTTGGATTGGCTGGTTTTCTTTTGCATGTGTTCACTCTTAGGAACTTTTCCTGACAGACACGCAGAAGGTTATGTTTAAAGATAGTGTTGAACTGAAATCGCGGTCAGTGATACTAAATTAGAAAGAGGAAATAATAATGCAGAGACCTTACCTTGCTTTGTTTTTCTAGCTAATTTGTGGCGCTGGGTCAATGAGACATGCGGCCGCCTAAGTGGAAATAAGGTAAATTTAAAGCACTTCTCACAGTCGGGCTGGGATGTTGTTAGTCCAGTGCTGAGCCCCGCTGTGTAAGTGGTGCTTCCTCAAAGGGATGGGACCCCAGATCCCAGGGCTGACCCCTTCAGAATAACCCAAAGCCTGGACCAGTGTTCAGCCTGAGTGCTGCCTCCTTGCATTGCAGTTCGTTTCTGACTTCTGTCACCTCTGGGCACAAGTACTAATTATAGATTTTTTTTAAGTGCCAGTCTTGATTGCCTAGTAGAGATTTCTAGAAGGAAAGAGCTCCCGTTGTCCTTATTTTGGTAACTACTAATTTTGATAACTGCTTTGGTAATTATTTTGGTGCCTCCTAATTTCAGTATGCTCTCGCACCACGGGGAAGTCGTGAGGATGGCACAGAGAACTCCCTCGTGCCCTGTTCTCGCGGCTGCCTGTTGCTCACACTTCGTCACATCGCCTCACTATTTGCTCTCCCTTTCTCTGTGTGGATGTATGTGTGTGTGTGTGTGTGTGTGTGGTTTCTGGAGCCATTTCAGGGTGAACTGGCAGACACTGTGCTTCAATACCCTTAGATACGTTGTTGCAAATTTCTGAAGAACCAGGACATTCACTCATCTAACCACAGTTCATTTATCAAAATCAAGAAATGTCATAGTGGCATAATACTATTATCTAATCCCCATTTGACATGAACATTTCACTGGTTATCCCACTGTGTCCTTTAGATCAGTTTTTCTTCAGGGTAAACCACACGGTTGCACTGATCTCTCCAGTTCCTGCCCCGGCAGCACGTTCCCACCGTCCCTGGTTCCCTGTGTGAATGGTCTCCTCTCCCACAGCAGGAGATCTGCCCCCCACCATTCTCACTGTCTTGACTGAGTTGCTCAATTCCAGAATACATAGAAAGTGGTTTCAGAATTACTACACCCTCCCACAGCAAAAAAACAAAGCTACTAACTAGAGTGCAGTATCTCTTTAGAGGTGTTTTGTTTTTTTTTTTAACTTAGATTGAGAGTTTATCGTCACAATTCTGTGTGACGAAGTTATTGGGGTTGGCCCTGGCCCTTGCGTCCGTGCCATTCGCACGAACTGCAGTTAGTTTCGTTCGTGTGTGGTTGTATTCCCCGTTAGGGGGCGTCCCCGCCCTGTCGTTTACAATACCACCTCGTGCTACGGAGCGAGGGAGTCCCCCGGCCTTCTCACGGTAGAAGTCCGCACTCTGCGCACCATGGTCGGTGTGCGTTTAGCAGAGCCAGGCTCTAACAGCTGGGAACTGACGCCCCTGCCTCCCCCCCGCCCCCCGCCCCCCGAATTTCCCCCAGCAGGCGTCCCCGGGCAGCAGTTTCGGCAGCGCTCCCGCGGAGGCCTGCAGTCTGCGGCGCGAACGCCGCGAGGGCGTCTTCCAGCTGACCCTGGAAGAGAAGGTGTTCCCTGAAGACCTGTGCTGTCCCGACGGTGGTGGCGGCGGTGGCCACGGGGCGGTCTGCCCGTGCACCGTCGGGGGCCCCTGCGCCAGCGCGGAAGACGCCACGCTGCTCACCTTGGTGAGCGAGACGGAGGGGGACCCGCTCAAGCAGATTCCCACCGAAGACGAGTACGTGGACAGGCCCCTCCAGACCCCGGACTCTTCGCTGTCCCTCGCTCAGCCTGGGAGCAAACCCGCACCCCCTTTCTCGGAGCCGCTGGAGGTCGGGGAGAACGACAGCCTGAGCCAGTGCTTCACTGGGGCCGAGAGCCTGGCGGACTCCGAAACCTGCCGCTTGGCCGAGGCCCCGGGCAGGACAGACTGGGTGGCCTTGTCCTGCGAAAAGTACTTGCAGAAAGAAGTGGAGGGCGCCAACTGTCCCCACTGGGCAGCCTCCAGCCCGGCCGATGGCTGCCCAGGCTGCGGGAACCCTCCTGGGGAGGACCGGGAGCCCCTTCTGGGTTCCCCCCAAACTGGACACTTGCCCCAGTGCGCCTACGGCATGGGCCTGCCGCCGGAAGAGGCCGCGGACGGGGAAGAGGCCGGTGGCCCGCCCGGCGATGGGGATGACGTCACGCCTCCCAGCTCCAGCAGGGGTGGCCCTGGGCCCGGGAGCCCTTCCAGCGACCAGCCACCTGCATCTGGTAAGTGACTCTCTTGGTCTCTCCCGTCCTGTTGTCCTGTTCGTGGTGCAGCTTGGGGGCAGGTGCCACAGACTGTTTAGGGAAAAGTGCAGCTAAGTGGGAAATACTCGGCTCGGGCATTTTCTCCAGCGGAGCCTCTTTGTAGGGTGCACTACGGTTCAGTCCGCACGTTGGGTTTGTGGGTTGTGCCCACTGTCCTGGGACGCTATCCTCTACCCCTGGGGCTGTCCCTTTATGTCCCCTTTTGTGCTCCTGGCCTCTCGTGGTGGGATTAGACTTCAAAGCCCAACACTGACCCCCGAACACAAAGTCAACATTGACCTCAGGGCTGGCTGACATTTACGAATGCCCTCAGATTTCTAGGGTTTTTGTTGCGTGTTTTTTCTTAAAGCAACCTAGGCCTCAAACCACCATCCTCCCGCCCCCACCCCCCTCCACCACCTCCCAGGAAAGTTCTGACACATTTCAGGAGAACAAACAAAAGGGTTTCGTTAATCTTTCATTAGTCAGTATTCGTCAAGAGTGGCTTGCTGGTTCTACACCAGGTCAGCGATGCAGACGAGTGTCTAACACCTTCCGAGAGCAGGTGCTTCCGTGACCACTGCGTGTGGCATACTCACGGCCGCTGGAGGCTAAGGTTACAGTTACAAATGGCCGTACAGTTTTATCGCTGCACTGCCTTTGGGGCACGAGTAGCCCAGCAATTATTATATTAAAACTTTGGGGGGGAGAGGGTACACCACCCTCTGTCTTTTCATGTAGTTATAAGGAACTGGGTGGTTGGTGATGAGGGCTTCCCCTGGCCCACTGTGTGTCGGGGGGTGGCATGGGGGGGTCAAGGGACCCCTGAGAATTTTCTGGAAGCTATAGACACTCTCCAGAAAAATGAATATATGGATATATACTATTGAAGGGGCTTCCCAGAATTCTCCGACTCTCTCCCCACTCCAGCCTAAAATTCTCATCCATGGCCCAGCTTTATCCTGGGATGTTTTTCTTTTCCTTTCCTGCCCCTTTATTTACTTCAAGCGGTGCTGACCGCTGGTCTGTGAATTATTTCATCACTCTGCGGGGCGGAGCCCTGCCGGGGACACAGAGGCACCTGCCTCTTGCTGACAAGGGCTCCCGGCTTATTTGGTAGAACCGTGGACTTGAATGTGTTTCCTAAGCATTGGGATTTTGCTACAACTTCACACATTCAGATGTGCGAATTCTATCATAACGATCCTTAGTCAGACCCGGCAGAGGAGGTATTTCTGTCTGGGGCTATTTTTCAAAGAACTGATGTGTCGTTTTTCCTTCAGAACACCCCACCGTTGTTCTAAAGCGTTGAAGGAATGTCCATGAGTAACAGTTTAGCTCTATCGTTCTGTTTCTTTTGAGCGTTGACTTTTCTTCCCGTCGGCCGTGGAGACACGCAGAGCACTATTTTAGGGGGCCGAGGAGTGCAGGGTGGCAGCCGCTCCATGTGGCGGAGGCCACATCTCGGTCACCCTGCCAGGGTCGGACCGGTTTGTCCACTGGTGACACCAGGAAGCTGACGCTGGCCACGGTGGGAAAATCACTGGCCGTTCCTGGAAGAACAGTGTTAGCCATGCTTAAGGAGATTTTTTTTTTCCCTTGGGGTCACGAAACCAGAAGCCACATCCGCGCCGTCCCTTGACGTGAAGAGCTAAGACAGCGCCCGCGTCCCGTCTCCCGGGTCTTTCACTCCTCCGGCTCCAAATACCCGGGCGCGGGGCAAAGGGCAACAAAACAAAACGTGCACCACCCACTCGGTGGTGATCATTTGCAAAAAGTTTACCTGGCTTTTTCTGTCCCGTCTGGCGCTGAGCCACGCAAAAACGTCCACTGGAGATTCTGCCTGCGGAGGCCAGCAAGCAGGCCACGTTCGTTTTTGCCTGAGAAGCAGCAGCAGCAGCAGCAGCCAGGTTGATCTGGGAGGCTGTTCCCTCCATGGTGACTTCTACACGCGAACAGGCCTTCTGCTTTCTGGTCAGGATAGCACGTTCTCATTATTGCTTCTTTTTTTGGGGGGGTCATCACTTATGTTCTATAAAATGTGTGAAAGAGGGTGAGCTTCGGGGGCCTCATCCTCTTTGACCTTCTAAAAGCCACTGTGCTTTCAGGACTTGAAGTGGCTTTTTTTTTTTTTTAATGGGTGTTGGGTTTTTCTGTGTGGGTGTTTTAAAAACTTACAACCGAGTGAAGTGGTTTGTAGAGAAACAACAGTGCCTTGTCCCTTACTCGGTGGGGAAGAGCCCCTTCTTCACACCCGGCATCCTTTCGGGGACGATGGTTCTTCCCAGAGCTCTACAAGGCTGTCCTTTAAAAACAACGCCCAATGTCAAGGTTATTTTAGCACTGCTATAACTCTTATTAAAGACCAGTGAGAAGTATTAGCAAAGGCCAATGAAAGCGGAAAACATACTTTTGTTTAGGTCGTACGCAACCGTGTCTTAAATTTACATGCTACGTTATTAGCCTTTTGCCATAGTGATGGTTACCTTGGTGACAAGCCCTTTCCCCTGGAATGTACAGAATTGCCACCATATCTAGAAAATTATTTCCTGTCCAAAAAAAAGCAACTTATAATTAATATGTCTAGTGTTGGCCGGTGGCTGGTTTTTGGCTCCTGAAACCGGTAGTTGGCTCAGCCACTTCTAAGCTGGAGAGAATGGTTTCCCTACAGGGCCCTCCAATGACTCTTAAGGAATACCAACTACATATTTGTTTTGCTACCAAATCTTTATTGAGGATCCACTGAGCCTTGGAAAGGCTTGGGAAACAAGTAGGGTTGAGGTCAGGGAAGGGACAACACAGGAAGCATTAATAATGTGAGAAGACGAAGCCTTCCACTGCCCGTCTCTCTAACCTCCGGTGTGGTGTTCCCTGTCACCGGCTCGCCCACCCGCGTCTCGGCCAGTGCCCGCCCCGTTCGGCAGGAACAGTTCTCGCTGTCTGCATGTCGTCCCTCTTTCCAGAGTGTGCAGTCCCTCCCATCCGTCAAGTCCCAGCTCAAATGCTACTTCCTAAACCAGGGATGGCAGGCACGCCACGGTGGGGCCACTGTCCCCTCCTGCCCTGGGCAGCCCTTCGAGATTTGTCCCGGAGCCTTTCTCCCCAGCCTGGGTGCACCCTTGCACCTTTATCAGCAGCCCACCTCCCGGCAGGCACAAGCCATCCAAGGAATTGCCATGACCTTCGCCACTCCTGGTCTTTCCCGTCTCTCCCAAGGTGGCTGGGCCACCGTGTGTTCTGAGAGTAAGTATTCCTTGGTGCAGGCGTTCATTCGCCCAGTCATGAGACACTAGAGGAACCCAACGAGCGCTCCCAGCTTGCTCCCTAACTCCCTCTCTGCTCCCCACTTCCTCAGGCCATCCTGGGGTGTGCGGGACCGCGCAGGGGACGGAAGGGCTGGTGCTAGCTGTTCTGGGCAGACTTGCGTGTCCTGGATAGAGGACACAGAGACCCAAGTGGCACAGGGTCAGGGCCGATGCCTGGCAGCCAAAGGCACTGGGGATGGCGGGCACATGCCTGGCCCCCACATGTCCCCCACCCGCAGTCTCCCATCCCGGGGTCCCCCCCCTCTCTTAAAGTGACTGTTCTTGACCATCCATTTCCATCCTCAAAGGGCAGATAAAGATTTTCCTACCCCGGTTCTCTTCCCTTTTCTCCCCCTCCCCCCAAGGCACAGACAGTCCTCCCTTTCTTTCGTCTGTCTCCTGTCGGAAGGCGGGCCACGAACTTGCAGCTAAGTATTGTAAGGGCTCACTGACCCCACACGTTCAACGTATTTTACAATTTGGCTATTTGGTAAGAATGCTGAGCACCCGCTGATGCTAAAAGTCAATGCACTATTTCAAAATATGTGAGAACTCCATCCACTGCCTGCTTTGGTGAATTTAGCGCTGCTGGCCTCCTCCCTGTTCTAACGGGTCTCGTCTGGGAAGGGTGTCAGCCATGCGCCACTGTAAGTCCTTTTTTAGCACGATTCTGAACGCAGCTACTAAATCCTACTGCTCGGCCCTGATCATCCTCCGCCCCCCCCCCTTCTCCCAGACACCTAAGACAGAGCTCGCATTGCCACAAAAAGGAAGATCACATGACAAGCATATGGATCAAGTCCAAAAGCCGTTCTTGAGAAATTCCGGAAGCTCCCAGCGGAGACCCGGCAGCGGGAGCGGGTTTGTGAATATTTTTAGTTCTCTTCCTTGGGAGAGTATCTGAATGACGGTTGGGTGGTCCCGCGGGCTCCGGTTCTTGTGATTTAATATTCATCCACTGTGCATTTCAAAAAACACGATGAGCTTTGGAGAAGAGGCCTGTGCGTTCCATGGCTGAGAAAGGAAACTTCTGTCGGGGACTGAGTTCTTAAAAGTGAAGCGGCTTCTTTCTACCCGAGAGAGGGGCTCCCTGGAGCCCCCTTGTGCAGCCAGAGCCCCGCCTCCTGCTCCTAGGGGGCCGCTTTCTTCGGCCCTTGTTTCTGTGGAATTTAATGCTGCTTTTCACTTTCCCCAGTTACCTGAACATTCTTCTAGCTAAGTCACGTTAAATATTCCTGTGAAGCCAGCGAACCCATTTTGAAGGTTAGAAACTCTTCAAAATTTCTAATTGAGTAGATATCCTCACGCCCTGCTGGCTCCCAAATCACGCTTTGGGTCGTCTTCAGGCATGGTTCGATCTGTCGCCTGGTGACTGTTGTGATATCCTGCTTATCTGACCCGGGGGCCCGAAACCACGGCCCCCTCCCCTTCAACCACTCCTGGAGATCCTGGTGCCCTGTGACCTCTGTGTGGTGCAGAATCTTCGTTGTGCCACAGACTGAGGGCTGCCACAGGCCTGCGAGGGCTGGCCAGTCTGCTGAGCGAGAGGCGGTGCCCAGGCCAGGCCCAGAAGGTTCCACAGGAGAGACCGCCAGGGTCTGCGCAGTCGGTGACGGCTCCCTTGGCCTCGGAGCCCCCTCTCCTCCAGAGTTGTCTCAGAAAGTCACTGTTTGC